AGAACGAGATTAGAGAGTGACTGGTTGATTTTGAGAGCTAAAAGAAAAGAGGTTAAGAGAATGATAAGAAACTCTGAAATTGAGTTTGTTCAAAATAGGATTTCCGAATGCCATGGGAAGCCTGGAGCTATGTGGAAGATTATACGTAATTATGGCCCAACATCTAGAGCGCCTGCATCTACAGTTCAATGCACCAAAGATATTCGGGCGACAGCCGATGAGTTTAATGATTACTTCACCTCTGTTGGTCAGAACACGGCAGAAACTGTTCTTAATTTAGCCAGTGAGTACAATATAGATATGTCTTCAAATACAGCTCCACCCGTTACACTTGTGTCAGAACAGTTTGAATTTAAACCAATAACTCAACATGACCTTGAGACTTGCATTGGTAAAATGCCTGCCAATAAATCGCCTGGAGCTGACAAGATTCCTATGAAACTTTTTCATGACTGTCTGTCCAACATTTCCACTCCATTGACAGATATTAACCAGTCGTTTGAAACATCAGTGTTTCCAGAGGACTGGAAATACACGGTAGTTGTACCTCATCTCAAAGAAGGGGACCATGAAGATGCCAGAAACAATCGGCCAATCTCACTTTCACAATCTGCTTCTAAGATAATTATGTGAGAGAATTGCCTTAAATCAATTTATGAATTACTTGGATGCAAATGACTTACTCACAAATCACCAGAAGCTTATGATAGTATAAACCATGACTTACTTCTTGGCAAACTCAGAAGCCTAGGAGTATCGCCATCAGCACTTAGATGGTTTTGTAGTTATCTAACAGGCAGGAGACAAGCCGTACGCATTGGATCAACTTTGTCCAGTAAGCTACCGATAAAAAATGGGGTTCCACAAGGTTCAATTCTTGGACCTATCTTGTTCAGCTTGTATATTAATGACTTACCTACTGTTGCACAGCACTGTAACATTGAATCGTACGTAGATGATTCCAAACTATTTTTGGCTTTCTCCTTAAACGAATTAGATGATGCTGTAGCCAAAGTTAACCAAGATCTGAAGTTGACCTTTGAATGGTGTTGCACCAACTACCTACTTATCAATCCTACTAAGACAAAGGTAATGGTATTTGGAGTACCCCCAACTTGTTTCCAAGTTACCTCAGGATATAATATTTACTCTAATGGACAAACAACTTACAATTTCATCAAATTCGAAAGACCTTGGTGTCACATTGGACCCATATCTGAACTATAACAATCATGTAGCTAATGTAGTGTCCTCTTGTATGGGAGCATTGGTACAAATTAACAGAGTTCGCCACCTATTTAAAGTGAAATTTTAATCAAAATCATAAATTGTTTGGTATTCAGTAAATTATATTACTGTTCCTCGGTTTGGGCATCAACATCTGAAACGAATATTGGAAAGCTTCAGTGTGTTCAAAATTTCGCTGCTAGGATAGTAACTGGAAAGTTTGAACATATTACTCCCATTTTAAAAGACCTGAAGTGGCTGCCGGTTACAATGGAACGTTATATTAGGGATGCTATCATGACATTTAAATGTGTAAATGACCTTGCGCCATCTTATCTGTGTGGAAAATTGAATAAAAGACAACAAATAAGTGGTCGTATAACCAGACAATCAAATGACTTTCAGATACCCAAATGCAGAACTGCAACAGGGCAGAAGTCTTTTGAGTATCGCTCTGTATCTATTTGGAATTCGCTCAGCCCAACTGCCAAACAGTTGTCCTCAATTGAACATTCTAAACATTATCTTAAAAAACATTTTCTTAATATATTTTTTAAAAGTACCTAGATTGTAATCTTTCCTTTTAACTATTGCATGTATAATTTATAGACTTAATTCCTTTTAGAAATCATTTGTAAATTAGTTATAAAATCATTTGTAAATTAGTTATGAAAAGCTCATGTTTTGAGATAACTAATAAATATGTATGTATGTATATACCAGGATGTTACTTTATTTTAATGTTTCTTCTTTTAATTTATAGTAGTTTTGATAACACTTAGTTCTTGCTCTGCCAACACACATGTACGTAATTCACAATATTGGGGGTCACCATTCTTCTTTTCCAACTACATGCCAAAGATTTCATTTTATTTCAACATGGGTCACCAGTCAAAATAATGAGATGTAGCGCACAGTTTTTAAAAAAATCGGTCCAGGATCATGTGCATCCTCATCATGCGGCGAAGGGTCATGTCCATCCATTCCTTAATGTGGTTTTGATGTTGTCAATCCAGTTGCCGACTCTTTTTCTTGGTTAATTCCGTCGAGCATACCGAAGATAATCATCTTATTTATGGTTGAAAAAAATAGACTTCAATACTGTTTAAGGCGGGACCCAAATTCGTTCGTAATCATACTTTTATGGGCTTATAGTTGGAAGCTGGCGCTTTAGAAAGCTTGCACATGTGTCAAATTTTATATACTTACTTATAGTAACTAGAAATACATGCTTGCAGCACCCCCTCCCCTATATTTTCCAAACATTGAATTAACATGGAGTATTACTAATTAGGCAACACTAAACGCAGGCTTGTGTTTACGTCAGGTGTAGCCATGATAACACGATAATTATAAATTTTAAATGTTTTTGTACAAAACGGCAAAAATAGTTGAAACTTGAAAGATCAGTACTTTTAACTGAGAATGAATGTCCGAAATATGTACTGTAGGTATGTTATTTTGCATTTTGTCAGCTTTGATTTAATGTAAAATTTAACCTGAATCGCTTCGTAAAATAATTTTAAATAAATGTTCATAGGCGTACGGGCGATTATTATTTTTTTTTTTTTTTTT